TAACCCTTCAGTCCTGGGAACAAAAGAAGCCACATGGCCTTAAGAGCCACACAAACCAAAACCTACCACAAGAAGCCATATGGCCTTAAAAGCCACACATTCCAAAAACCTTTCACAAAAATACAACTAACCTATCCTATAACACCAATAAATTTATCTCATTTATCCTTATAACTCTATTGCCTCTCCTTACAAACCTAATAACTCTCCCCTAATACGGGGTGAATGCAGAAAATCCCAGCTTAGGATTCTAACAACGGTAGTTGCTCCCTCCTCGAAAACCCCATTGCCTGCCTAATGTGACCACCAGAAAACCCAACAACCGAATGTTATGGGTTACAACAATATCAACGATAAACAAAAGTCATCGGCAACAACAACCATGACAAAGAGCGTAAGAGTAAAGCTCACCTGTTTAGAGTTCCTCCTGGGGAGGTCTAGGAACTCGACTACCAATCATCAAAACAATATGGAAAATTCTGATCATGCTTGGAGTAGCCAGGAATCGAAAATCAAACATGTGCCATCTACCTGAACCAGCGAGCCCTGGAGGGCCCATGTATCAAAAAACCACCGGAAACCACCTTGTGATAGCGGCTAAGGTTTCACTTTGCAACGCCACTCTGCCTGAATCGCATGTCTCATCAGACTGGTAAACGTACTTCGAATTTGACGGTTTGTACATTCTTTGTACTCAAAGACCTGATCCTTGCAGCTTTGCCAAATTATTGCACAACAAGCTGCTTGTGTTGCCTGAGCGACATAGCCCAAACTTTTTCACTTTGAGCATCCTTTAGAGAGTCCGCCCAACAAGGACCACACCTTATCTCAAAGGCCGGATCCGAAATACGATTCCAGTGGTTTATCCACCATTACCAGATTCGACTGGAAGTCGGGCAATCCCACCACAAGTGAATAGTTGACTCGAATGCCCGTTGCCATCTTTTGCATGTCCGATCGAGCTTTAATCCACGTTCCGCTAGCCTTACAACCGATGGTGTAGCAAGCAAAAAGACCAGCCATAACAGAGAGGCTTGTTTTTTGTTAGTAATCAAGTTCAATTGTTCCCAACAAAATGTAAGGGCAACATCAATCGCTGAAGTTTACAGCGGCAGTAGCTGAGTCCAGCGGAGTCCAGCCATTACTCTGGAAAGCTTCAGTGGTTGATTCGCTGTATATCCCAGTTTCAAGGAGTATTCTGCTAGAATAGCATTCGAGTCACGAGGGTCTTTTATAGTCCATTCCCACATCACTGGTCTACCTTCATTTGTGCGATTGGGCAACATTTACTAAATAACTGACAAAAAAGGGGGTCCTCAGACCTTGTGTGTTCATAAACTCGAATCTGTTGCAGTACCTCACCAAGTGGCGGGGATGGGTTCTCTTCCCCCAAATCCAGTACTCCAGAGTTATGGACATCCCAACACTGAAAGTTTCTACAACTATTTGAATGAATCGTTATTAATTTCTAGACCTGTTGAGGTTATGAGGGGACGCTGTCGGTGCGAATACCCTTACAAGGGTATCCACCCTGGTTTTCACAAGCGACAAAAATAAGTTCGGTTTAAAGTTTGGGTATACCGCGCTAGGCGCGACTGCGTCTGTGATTCACGTTGAGTGGATGGTTGACTAGAGGAGAGAGTGTGTGGGCGCGCGGATTTGATTCACGCGTGATCTTTTTAAATTGTTGATGATTGTGAAAGTTGGCGTTGGTCGCCGACTGGATTTTTATCCTAATTAAACAGGGATTAAAAAGATTATGTCTCGCCTATACCTTTTCCGCACGTGTGGACAACAGTGGGGCTTCTGAAATTATTTCGATAGGTCGGCGCGTCGTACAGTGCCCGTTTATTTAAGCGTCCGTCAGGGCTAAAACCCAGACTTGGACCTAGCATCAAAGAGATTTAGCGATCGAGATTGTGCGGAGACGATACGGAGGTATCAGAGAGGCGTGAAGGGACCGAGGGGTTGGGGACCCGACGGGGCTATCCTACTTGGTTTTGTCGGCGGCGGCGTTAGGACGAGGCTAACATTTTCGTTTTCCTCGTTCGTCATAGTTTGACGGTTAAAAGTTCTGAATAATTTAAATTATGCCGTATTATTATTTTTGCCTTAGTACCTTTTGACTCAGGCGCGATGCCTGATTTGGAAGTTGTCAAGACGGTCAAAGACCTTGAGCGCGCACCTCCTTTGGCGGGCCTGTTTGGATTTCCGCGTGCTCGGGATATTGACAAAGTTCCCCTCTCCGACCCTGTTGAGAATACGAACAGAAGAATCCGACGTACATGCGAGCCGGCGGGTGATTCCTCTGCGTCTCATTTGAATATCCGCTACTACCGGTCGTTTCACCTAGGCCCGTGCCTGGGCACATGGCAGACCCGCACCCTCGGTCCCACGGCTGGCTATGAGAAATCGGACCAAGGCTTGCCCGTTGAAGGGCTGAAGGGGCGGAAGGGATGGTCGAGCCAGAGAGAGTCGGTCCCTCCCGAAGTTTTTCTCTCAGGTTGGCCGGCGTTGTCGGGAAGACCGCTGTCCGGCTCCTTTCGAAGTTTCCCACAGGCTTGCTAGCACTGACGGGCGGAGCTAGAAGGAAGAGGCAGTTGTGGGGCAAAACTGATAGTGCAAGCGGACATTGAGCACTAAGCCGGCGAAGCGAGGCAACAAACGGCGGGCGCTGCTGGGTGGCAGGTCGTCATGAGCAGCGAGGCTGCTGGTCGGAACTGCACTGGCCGGAGAAGTGAACCGGGGCAAGCGTGGGGTCCGGGTGCAGTCGGGTCAAGGAGAGTGGGGGCGCGTAGTGACGAAGGCAAGAAAGGAAGATTCAAATTCTTTCAGTTATCATTTCAGATTGGATACACCTTTCTATCGACCACGGTCGATTCCTTTTGATGTAATTATTCATAGTTATTATAATTTTTTTTTGAGTTGTATGCCAAAGAGATCGGGATTAATTTTGAGTTTCACGCTTGGTTGAGACCGTCTTAGTTGACTGGTGTACGCTTCGTACTTAGGAGATCAGGGCCCTAAGAGATGAACGATGTTCGGGTCCGCTTGGTGTTAACCAATGATATATATACTACCGTGAACGAGCAAACGTCATCGACTGATCTACCTTTGTGATTGCATCCAAAAACTTTCGCACGTGGGTCAGTAGCTCGGTAAGGATACGTCCCTAAGAGTGGTGACAGCCCCTCAGGGAAGGTAAGTTGTGCCCCACGGAAACCTATCCTGTTGTAGGGGACTATGGGAAGTATAGCTGGCGCACCCGGCTAGAGCGGCGAAGAGACGATGCAACCGCGTCCGTCTCGGCGGTTCGCGGGGTTATTTTGCGCCGTCCCCAAGTTGTCTCTGTTTTGTTTCGTTTTTCTCCTGCGTGACATAGCCGAGAGGGCTCTCGCACTTTCACGAGAAAAGGAGGGGGCCAATGCGCTCGACTCCGGCCAAGGGTCAGCTGGTAGCATAAGGACCGAGCTTCTTCAGTGGGCCAATCACTGTGCCTCCCTTCTGGTCCCCTCCCCCTATGAACATCAATAGTCTCTCTTCAATGCCACTCAGCGGGACCAACGACATATCTCTTGTCTAGTTGATGTAGCTCAGTGGTTAGAGCACCGATTGGAAATGCGAATTGTGGTATAAGGTGGCGGGTTCAAAACTCAATTGCAGCCTTGCGCATGGACACTGACAGGGCATTAGAATGACGCACGGCTGGGTACACACCCTCTTGGGCTGACGCACAGTAAGCTTATACAGACACTGCTTGCGCACCACCCAAGGGGTTGTCCATGGTGTTGTATGTCGGGTCTTGATACTGCGTGGGTTGCTTGTGGCTGTTGATCACGGTTGTTTTGTTGATCTCCCCAGTATGACATATCACACACAGGGGCCGTTTGCGGTTGTTGCTCAAATGATAGAGTCTTCAAGTCACATGTCATAGATCACGGGTTCAAGTTTGGCTTGGGACTTTGGGGGGGTTTCTTATCCAGCTTGGTCTATCATCTCTTAAAAAACGAACACATAGTTCCCTCTACATAATACTGCACATGTTTAGCCTTCGGGCGCACATATCTCGTATACAGTTACACAGAGCACACATAGCCTTCGGGCAGACACAAAAACATGGCCCTATGGGCCTATACAAACATACATAGCCTCTGGCTACACACATATACACACAACTACAATAGTGGGTTGGGGGGGTCTATCAGGTATATGACGGGGTCTACGCATGCATCGCTTAGGTCTAGGGTAGGGTAGGGATATAAGTTGCTCCGGCTAGTCTGAGTTCCGCCTAGCCTTGGGTAAGCTAGGGGAAGGACGGTAGGATGTGTCTGCGGGCGCTGGCCTGCCTAGCTTAGGTGATCCTGCTGGGTAGACTCTCTGAATTGGGCCTGTAGAAGATTGCATGAGCCTGGCGTCCGAAGTTCCCACGGCAAGGTTCATCCGCTTCCGCTTCCGTTAGGGCTGGGAAGTTGGCCCAGCCCTGGTGCTTGTCACTGCTGTCTGGTCCAAGTTGCCCTCAATACTGGTAGGGTGATGGTCCTGAGTGCTGGTCACACTGAGGTAATATAGTAGGGACGGGGGTGCGCTGGGAGTATTAACGTCGGGTGGGTAGGGTAGGTGGCCTATCCTGTCAGGACAACCATTGGCTGCCGCTACCAGCAATCACCGCTGGTCTGATCCTTGGCCTCTACAACACCCTGGGCTTTTAGGGAAAAAAAAAAACAAAAAAACAAAAAACCAACGGCATATCTCTAGGTACATAAGGGTAAGGGGACTCGAACCTCTCCTAAATGCCACTTGCGTGTCTTACCAACTGAGCTAGGCGGCTGGATTCAATACTGCCGTAGTGTTGAACCCAATAGACCTGTGATCGATTTTCGGGGGCCGCCGGCCTTTCCCACCAAACCTCTACCAGCGCCCCAGGGACGGTACTCGTCCACGTATATAAAGTCTACAGTGCCGCGCGCTATTGCGCTGATGGTTTCGAGGTATCGGAAAGTTTAAACGACTCCACATAGGCCCGTACACTCTATAAACTGTGGTCCCCGCGCTGCGCAGGAAGGAGACGAGCGGCAGCGGCATTCTCCGTTGTGGACAGCGCCCGGAGAGAGCGTGCACGTTGGCACGCTTGTTTCCGCGGAGCCCAAACTATGGTCGGCGCTGCAAAGAGAGGAATAGGCAGGCATAGCAGAGTACGAGCTGCGTGCAAACGGGCGTGCAGTCTCTCTTTCTCTCTCTCTCTCTCTCTCTCTCTCTCTCTCTCTCTCTCTCTCTCTCTTTGAGGTGTTGCTGCTGAAGACGTGGAGAGTTCCATTCTCAGTCGGCCCAGAAAGGAAATAGGTGGGTTCGCGCGGCGCGGGGAAGGACACCCTCTCTCTCTCTCGTTCCCTCCCTCCCTCGGTCACAAACGAAACAGGTGGGTTCATACGGCGGGGCGAATTACGTCCTCTCTCTCTCTCTCTCTCTCTCTCTCTCTCTCTCTCTCTCTCTCTCTCTCTCTCTCTCTCTCTCTCTCT